AGAGAGAGAGAGAGAGAGAGAGAGAGAGAGAGAGAGAGAGAGAGAGAGACGGTGAGAGAGGAAGTGACAACTAAAATTTAAAAATTTAATAACGTTGGAGATAGGATGGCCACCTCTCTGGCTTTCGTCCAGATTTCTGCGGGTTATCATATCTCCTTTATAGGCTTCAGGTTCTACCATTATTTTTCCGAATAACAAGGATCCTGATATCCAAGTGTATTGCAAAACAACATCAATATATCGAAAAAAATAATAAAAAACAGTCAGTAAAATTAATATTAACACACAGATAAGATTTATATAAATTTAAGATAATAATACTCAATTATTTTGTGTGCCCGTTATATAGTTACTTATCGTAGTAATAATTTACAAAAATAAATTTTTTATTCGTAAATTAATTTCTTTTCTGAATCTCCGTGTTACTCACTCTAACCAAGATTGAACTGAAAAAATTATTTTTCTATTTAGACCTGAAATATTTTGGACATACGATTCAGTTGACACTGCCATATTTTTACTTGTGCCAAGTATGAATAAGAGTGTATTCTGGTTTAAAACGTCGCAGAAAAGGAATTTTTCCGGAATTCTTTATACGAAAACGAAAGATCGAATAATGTCAAACTTTACGTATTATTTCAAGAATATATTTTAAGAAAATACTTTTATTGTATAAGTGACAAAACATTTTTCTTTTGTATGTTATATTCTAGTCATTAGGAATTCGCAAGAAAAAACAGAAGATATGAGTCATTACAAATCTTCAAGATATTTGAAGCGCAAAAACAAAAAATTATTCTATTTTAAACGATACACTTTTCCTAAATAAAAAAATTTTTGGTTTTCGCTTTTCTAGTTATTTAGAAGAGCTAGAATCACTTACAATGTATACATTTTTTTCTCGTGACTCCTAGCAAGTAGCATATAATATACAAGAGAAATAAGTTTTTGTCATTTAAACAATAACAGTATATTTTTAAAATAAAGCTCAAAAAATGTGTGAAGTTTGACGGTTTTCCCGTTTTCCTGTGAAAAATTTCGAACAAGTACTTTTTCCCTCAAACTCTCTCTCAAACCAGAATATTCCCTTAAGGCGCACTTTGCTTAAACCGTCCCTGCGTAAGGATGGAACAAGCTGTAGTTCGCATCGTCAAGTCTGCACGGTGCATCGTGCAACAGCAGCAGCCGCCACCGCCCCGCTCCCTCCTTCTCTCTCTCGCAGCTCTTCTTGTCAGCTGCACTCAGCTGGATACCATCGAACTGATGCGGCGGCGTATACTACAGCGGCACGGTGCACCGGAACTTCGCAGTTTGCGCGAAGTTTTCGACAAGAGAGGCTCGGATAGAAAACGCGATAAAACTATCACGCGCAACCGCCAGCCGCGATAACTCGTTAAAGCAGTACACGCTCGAGAGCACCGGCCGCGAGACGAGAGGTATAATGCGAGAACTTGTTGATCTCAGAGTCGAGAAAAGATTTCGACCGGAAAAGTCCGACTAATCGTCCGTATGTCAAGCGCCGCGCGGATTTCTATCGTCGCGGCCGCACAAAATTCAATTTAACTTCGGAACTGCATCCAGCGATGTGTCTCGTCACAAGAGATAAATCTTTCAACGAGATAACACTGCATACGCAGTATTCGAGACGTGCAAATTTACCTCTGAAATATTAACAACGAAATATAAACGCCGTTTACGAAGAGGACGTGCGCGCGATAGCGTTCGAGAACTTGCGATGATAAATCCTGGGGTACCACCCCAGTTGTCTTTTTCTACACTTTAATGGCAGGGGCATTTCACTGAGAAAATTTCCCGAGTCACTGCGGTGAAATGAGGAAATCGAGGCATTCGAGTTAGATGGGAAATAATTTTGTTCGAACTCGGATGTTGAGAGAATCGTTGGATAACACGTGTAATTAATATCGCAAGTAACGCGCAGGGTAGATGATCTTTCATTCCTCTTCGGACAGGGAGATTGAATTTCTGCTACGCTTCTTGACCGCAAACTAGAGTAAGCCTATACCCTATCTACACTCTGATCAGCCATTCGCCTAGGAACGCAACGGAAACCAGTTTTAAGCGGCATTCACAGCTCTGTGTTTTTTCTTATCCGAAGCCAGCACACTGTCCATGGAGCTTATCTATCATTTCATTTGTAACACTTCGTGACCATTTATATATGTGTCGTATATTTCTACTAGCACATATTATTTTAAACGTGTTTTGCAACGCAATGTGTAAAAATACATCTGTCCGCACATATTTTCGTAATTTTTTTTGTTTTAAGAGGAGCTGATGTAAATAGCAGAGGTAGGAGGTTTTTAGGAACCTTACTCAAAGAAATGAATAAAAATATTAAAATAAGCTTTTGACTATATTATTTATCGACTATTTATTGACTATACTATATTATTTGAAATATAAAAAAATTATTTTGAAAAATATTGAAGTTTAGTTCAGGTTTTCTTATACTGGACGGACCATTTCAATTCGTTTTTAAATAATTTTGTTATATTCAGAACAATGATAAACAGTATAATCAAAACTTCATATTGACATCTTTATTTGTTTCTTTGAAAAAAATTCGTAAAAACCTTCTATTTTTCGGCTATCTAAAGTAGAGCTTCCTTTTAAAAATGAAATGTTAAAAACTGGATACGAATCGATATAAATGAAATATACGGGGGTAAAATTCGATGTAAGTCAGAACGATATCTAAAAATATATATCGACACGCGAATATTCCCACCACTACTATCTGGAAGATCCAAAATTAATCGCTAGAACTTTAATGTATATCTTTATATTTATCGACTATGGCGGCTTCGCCATGAATAAAATCTAGCTTGGACGACCTATACACCATCTCTCCTGCGTTGCTTTCAACGGAGCTTCGAATAACTTTTAAATCGCCCGGAGCGATTCTTGATCGTCCGATAAACGCCTGTCGTATTAAGTGTAGGCGTGACGCACAGCATAACCCGATGTCCTTAACAACTGACAGACAGAAAATTGACTGGTGTCGATAAATAAATTCGATAATATCCGAGGCACGTCACTCTTAGAAGTCAAGTAATGAACATCATGCGGAAGAAAATGCCTCAAACGTGGAAGCTACACCGTAAATCCAAATGTGATGCTTTCAAACACATAAACGTATAATTTGACTGAAGCTCTTTTTGGTTTTAAATTATTTAACATGTGTAAATTACAATTTCATGTGTTCAAATATGTTTTAATCACATGACTTATAATAAGAAACATTGAAAGAAGATGCAGCTATAAAATAACGTGCTCTGCAAAATGGCACAAAATGGCAGCCATTGACCATGTGAATCGAAGTAATGTTTTGTTTGCTCCTAACAGTGTGTAAAAACAACGATCGGCGAACGTTAGGTCTCGCTGTTGTACTGCCGGACGGCAGATACTTGGTAATCAAATCAGATTCAGCCACGGCGTC